TATTTCGTTTCATCAGCCCTTCCTGCACAGGCTGGACACCACTCACTGGAGACTCTACCTTCCTCCACGCCCTCTGGATCTAGGTTCCCTCTTGAAAGCTTGTAAGCTAGTCACTTCTTGCCTTTGTATCCCTCCCCCCATTTTGGGTAGCCAATGTCCAAGTTGCCCATCTCTGTCTACCCTTTGTGTGGAGGGTGTGGGTATAGTTCTTGCAGCAGGGACTTATTCCTCTTTTGAGCTACTGCATTTATAGGTGTAGGTCATGTTTATTGAATTTTATCAGATGACGTTTTTATTCCCTCTTCTTTCTTCTTCGGGTTGAGCTCTGTTTATCCAGTCATTGAAGTCCAGTCAAATGAGCATCATCTGCAAGTGTGGGTGTTCTTAAGTCTGTCCAGCCTCTTTTTATTGGCTGGCCGCCCTGCTCTCCACTCTAGACCTCTGTGGCTGTGTCACTGACTCTGAGCCCATGAGTCCCCAGATGTTGCCTCGCAACTGGCCGACCAGGTCTCCATCCGGGTTCACAGTAGTTTGCTGAACGATGTAGGGCTTAGCTCGCCCCTTAGTTGATGTTCTTCGGCCACTTCCCCTTCTGGGTGACCTGCGTGGCTGTCAGTCACACAATCAAAGCATATATTTCCCTTGTGTCTTAGTCTTGGAAGAGAATTTGCACTGAAAGGATCCGATCACTTGCCTTGATGTCTCCTGGGCAGGCCACCTGTATGTTCTTATGGTAACAGTCGGACTGCCCTTATTGTTTTGTGTTTTTCCTGTAGGTCCTTCTTTCAAGAGGTATCTTCTGGTTTTCTAGCTGCTCCTGGCTGGTCTGCTTGTCCTTTCAAGTGGAGAAATTTCCCGTCTCTGAAGGTCTGGTTGTGGTTAGGGCTTCCACCTATACTCCCATGTAATGCAGAGGCTCCTCAGTAAACCTCCTTCACTGGACACATTGTAGCCCCATTTTAGGTATTCTAATCAGTTATAGGCAGAAGATGGGCTTATAATCTTTCCATGTTGATATTTCTGGTTATTCCTTTCCCCCTCTAGTGTCTGTTTTATAATGTATTGCAAGGAAAACCAGGGTTCAAAAGATAGCCAAGCATCTTAACATTATTCTCCCATTTCCCCATTCCATCCATATCTCAGTCTCTGTATTCCAGAGCCCTGTTGTTCTAAAGCTGTGCCTACATCATTTTTTACCTCTGTCCCATTTAGCCTATTTATACCTGTCTTATTTGTTCTCTCATCTGCTTTGTTCTTCGATTCCCCTCTCCCTTCTTGTATATTGCCCCCCTACCCAATACCCAAATTATCTTGTGTCTAT